TCTTGTTTCCACATAGCACCATTTGTCAAAGATACTGCATAGCAACATTTCTTTAGAGGTATATATATATATATATATATATATAAACTTCACAATACATTATAGTAAATATATCAACTATTTTTATAATTCTTTTGATTATTCTATTAAATGATCGAATTGGATAAAGAATTAAGTCATTGGATAAAGTCATGTTATTTTTGTTGCGTTTCAATGTATACTTTTTTTAATCTGTAGTTTTGTTTAACTACAGGTCTTGGATTATTTTACATATTTTGAGAAAACAGGGAACACAGAGGCACTCAAGAACATTAAAAACACTTTTTGACAAAATATAAAAGTCAATTCTCTCTGTAACGATTCTTACACCATAATTGGGTATTAGGGATTTGTTCAAATCACTATTTATTTAAGTGTGGCGTGTAAATTAGGTTATCGATAAAATTGTGACAATCATGAACACCATAGCATGGGAGGCATTGCTCATGGTTTCAGCATAAAATGTAAAAATCTAGTTAACTGATGGAGGGAGAGAGACAGACAGACAGAAGAAGGTCAGGCCAGAGTTGGAAGCACATGAGGGAGTGTCTAAATTCATGTCTAATTAGCAGCATAATTTATTTACCCAGAACTTGGCAGAACTCATTAAAAATGACCAGCCTGCTAATGTCACATCAGAGAAAGAGAGAGAATCTGAAGTAGTTCACGGGGTTCTAGCTGAAGTTTCTGATGCTTGTTTTTCTGTAGGTGGCGGGTTGGTTGAGCTCAGCAACTTCTCTCCGACTATATGTGGATGGACAGATGGAGCGTCCAGACATCTGAACTTCTGCTGACGGCTGCGCTTCATCTCTTTCCACTGTAATTATCTGGAGCGCCTCTGTGTTTGTTAGATAACCCACAAACATCAGTTCTGTCCTTCCTGTTCTATTAATATCTCTCCTTCTCTCACATTTGTTTACTCTCTTCTCTGTTCATACTTCTCTCTAGTCTCACAGAAACACAATCTGGTCGACTTTGCAGTTTATTCTGGTCAAGAACTGCCCACTTATTTATAGAGGAACAGAGAGTCTCGTCTGGGTGTGTTACTGGAAAATGTGTGCTGAATTTGTTTTTGGATTTATTGAAGCAGTCTGGTATTTAAAAACCTAACTTATTTTGCCACACTGCAGCTTTCTTAATATGTGGTGTCTTGTTTTTCAGACACATTTATTTATGAAGAAAAATAACATGATATTGACACATTTTCTGATAAATGGACAAAAATTGAGTTTAAAACAATTAAATTAATAATGTTTAAAGAATAAAATACACAAAATAACATGACTTTAACTGATTAGTTGATTAACAGAATTTTTTTTAATTAAGACTTGCTATCTTAAGTCATTTTTTTAAATAGATGTATGAATTTGCTATGTTGTACGGTGACGCATTGATGCCACACACATTTTTTTTTCCACTCAGTTATGTCGTAATAACGACATGTTTTCTCGTTAAAACGTCTTTTCTCGTAATAACGAGATGTTTTCTCGTTAAAACGACATATTTTCTCGTAATAACGAGATGTTTTCTCGTTAAAACGACATATTTTCTCGTTAAAACTACATCTTTTCTCGTAATAACGAGATGTTTTCTCGTTAAAACGACATCTTTTGTCGTTAAAACGACATCTTTTTTCTCGTAATAACGACATATTTTGTTATAAAAACGACATGTTTTCTGGTTATTATAGATAGGCTATATGGTAGTTGGAGATTAATCCTAATAAACATGCCGCTACAATTAAAACCATTACATTAAAATACATTTAAAACAGTGTATTTCAATAATTTCAGCAGCGTGCAGATCCTCGTTTATGTCAGACTGTGGCGACAGCAGCGCGGACAGTCGCTTAGCTCGCTCACCTATCCTACCATATAGCCTATCTATAATAACCAGAAAACATGTCGTTTTTATGACAAAATATGTCATTATTACGAGAAAAAATATGTCATTTTAACGAGAAAACATCTCGTTATTAGGAGAAAAGATGTCGTTTTAACGAGAAAAGATGTCGTTTTAACGAGAAAACATCTCGTTATTACGAGAAAAGATGTCGTTTTAACGAGAAAAGATGTCGTTATAATGAGAAAAAATGTCGTTATAACGACATAACTGAGTGGAAAAAAAAATATGTGTGTGGCATCAATGCGTCACCGTAATGTTGTTCTTAAAAAAATAAAATAAAAAAAATAAATATAAAAGAAATCTTTAATAAAGGTTGTGTCCCCCCCATGATCTATGATTATTGCACATCTAACATCATATATACTGTAGAAAATGTGGTGTCCTAATCATAAAATCAAAACTGACAATTGTACACAAAATAAAAAAATAAAAAAAAAACATTACAAAATTAGCCATTTTGGCTGTCAAAAAAATTTAAAAATAAAAATAAAATAATGAATGAACGAATGAACACACGAACGAACAAACGAATGAATGAACCCCATCATAGACTGTGATGAAGTGTTTCTACAGTTATTTTTACCTAATATTACATAGTAATTACAGAAAAATGGTTAACGCTGTTGGAAAGTCAGAGAAATTCTACTGTGGATTTTTTCTTTTGCTATTGAAGCAATTGGAAAAGCAAAAAAATATAACTGTATATTTAAAATATTTGTAAAATATAAGTAGGAACTTCCGTTTCTGAAAATCCCAGAAATGTGAAAAGAGTCCATTGTTTTTAAACAAATTAAACAACCAGGAAGTCCTGCCCTAAATTCATTCCATTGGTTGAGCCAAAATTATGTTAGGCCTTTTAACCAAAGCTGGTAATGCAGAAATGACATCATTTCCTGTGGGTGTGATGCTACAGTCCAGTACCTTCTCTTTGAGTTGGCTGATTTCTGACTGCAGGCCCTGGTTCTCGTTCTCCTGGTCATTCTTCTCTTTCCCCAGCTTCTCTTTCTCAGTGCTCAGATCCAGAACCTTCTGCTCATAATCGGACTCCATCTTCTTCAGCTCCACCTGCAGCTCGTGACGGGCCGTCAACTCTGCGTCCAGCTGCACAGAACAGAGCATCCATCATCAGAACAACATACATCTGCATAAACCACCGGTCACAAAACACACATTTATGGTAAATAAAAGTGATTCAAGTGAAAACCTTTTGAATGGTTTGAGATCTGTACTTTTTTATACTTATGAAAGAAGTCTCTTCTGCTCACCAAGACTACATTTATTTGATTAAAATTACAGTAAAACATTAATATTGTGAAATATTATTACAATTCAAAATAACAGTTTTCTGTGTGAATACATAGCATCATTACTCCAATCTTCAGTGTCACATGATCCTTCACAAATCATTCTAATATACTGATTTGCTGCTCAAGGAACATTTCTTATTATTAACAATGTTTAAAACTTAATGCTGAGCACTGAACATTGATTTTTGTTTTTATTTAAGTGGATTAAAATTCAGTTAATGTTTTTTTTTCATGTTACTGACACCAAAGTTTTGAACAGTAGTGTATACTGTATAGGGCACTTAAAAATAAATAATATGCTAAAAACATTTCAAACCACAATATGCTACAGCACATCACATGATCTCATTACACTGCATGTTTAATTCTGTGCGCGTCATCCAGAAGGTCAAGCGCATCGCATGCAGAATCTCAAGCAGGGCAGTGTGTTTGTATACCGTGCCGAGTATATACTGCAAAAACAGTATGAATCCTCATTTGACCAAAGTGATATATTGTGTTATCAATAAACTCTCAGGTGACCCGTGTTTACACAGTGACCCTCAGTTTATCACTATAAAGGTGGATTGTTGTTGTTGTCAGCGCGGGCGACTCAGAGGACAGATTCAAGAACAAATCTGAGCCGAAATGGAGCCTCTGTGGATTTTAGTATTCACCTTACAAACTTCCACAAAATCTGTCCTTCTGCCTCACACAGACAGACATTGACAATTTCCGGTGACATTGACGGCGGGTGTTTGCTAGCCAGACATGCAATTATGTGACGGCAGCAGAAATGGAAGGGTCACATGCGCGCACACACACACACACACTTTCTCCATGTGTTAGTATTGAGAGTTGTTTGCTGTCGCTCTTCTGACGACACACTGCTATTACTCTGAATTAGAAAGGGAAGGAGGGGAAAAGAGAGGAAGAGGAAACACTCGCCTGACAAGCCCGATAGCACACACACTCACACAAATGAATAAGTAAAGCAGAGAGTATTGCAGTGTTTACATTATTTGAGCTCTGACAGAGAAACACACACAAACACACACG